CTAATTAGCAGCCTCTTGCCGTATGACTATGGCCCCTAGAAGATTTTGCCCTTTAAATACGTTATTTGGGCATAGTGGATTTTATGAGACTGGTTCTGGCCCTTTAAATGCTCTGACAAAGGATCTGCAGTTTTGCTATGCACTTCGGATGCAGAGTGTGAAGAAAACCCCTGTTTTATGGACTTAGTTTGACTGTTTTGTTCCCCCCCCCCCCTCTTAGAACACCAGTTTAAACCCTTAATAACTGTCATATTGTCAAACACTGTCTGACCCTGTTTAACCCCTTAAGGACGGAGCCAAATGTACACATTGTGAACAAAACAAAATGTAAACAAAACCTGGCATTTGCGCTACATGTCTGTCCAACCGTAATACACCTCTTTCATAGTAAATGCACCCACCCTTATTATATATCATTTTATTCAGGGGAAACAGGGCTTTCATTTAATATCAAATATTTAGCTATGAAACATAATTTAATATGAAAAAAATGGGAGAAAATACGATTTTTTGGATTTTTTTAGTTCTACATGACATTTTAAACGGTCAGTGTCATAATACTGTTTGCTTTTACTGCAATAAAATACACATATTTGTATTCAGCAAAGTCTCACGTGTAAAACAGTACCCCCTATGTACAGGTTTTATGGCGTTTTGGGAAGTTACAGGGTCAAATATAGCACGTTACATTTGAAATTGAAATTCGCCAGATTGGTTACGTTGCCTTTGAGACTGTATAGTAGCCCGAGGAATGAAATTTACACCCATAATGGCATACCATTTGCAATAGTAGACAACCCAAGGTATTGCAAATGGGGTATGTCCAGTCTTTTTTAGTAGCCATTTGGTCACAAACACTGGCCAAAGTTAGAGTTAGTATTTTTTTGTGTGTGAAAATGCAAAAAACGCCAATTTTGGCCAGTGTTTTTGACTAAGTGGCTACTAAAAAAGACTGGACATACCCTGTTTGCAATACCTTGGGTTGTCTACTATTGCAAATGGTATGCCATCATAGGGGTAATTTTCATTCTTGGGCTACCATAGGGTCTCAAAGGCAACGTAAATCTAGCAAAACCTAATGAAAAATGAAAGCGCCAAACTTATATTTGGCCAGCTGTAGCACCATAAAACCTGTACATGAGGGGTACTGTTGTACTCGGGAGACTTCACTGAACACAAATATTTGTGTTTCAAAACAGTAAAAAGTATCATAGCAATAATATTGTCCGTTTAATGCTGTTTGTGCGTGAAAAATGCAAAAAACGTCACTTTTACTAGCGATATCATCGTTGTAATACATTTTACTGTTTTGAAACACTAATATTTGTGTTCAGCGAAGTCTCCCGAGTAGAACAGTACCCCCCATGTACAGGTTTTATGGTGTCTCAGAAAGTTATAGGGTTAAATATAGTGCTAGCAAATTAAATTCCCTTTACTTTCGGCATGGGTTGTCATGCAGGTCCTGCTAATTGTAATTAATTAAGATACCTAATTATGTAAAAATATTACATAAATATATATGTAGAATCAATATATGTATATATATATATACGTATGTGTATATATATATATATATATCTATATAATTTTTTTAAAATATTTTTATTTATATATAGGTATATATATAGTGATATATACGTATATATTTATGTGTATAAATATATATATTTCGTTCTATGTGTATTTTGATATATATATATATATATTAATTTCACAATACAGTTAGAACGAAATAACACACATCTATATATTTTTAATTATTTATTTTTAATTATTTTTGTAATTTTATTTTTTAACGTATTTACATTTTAATTTTTTTTATAATATATATAAATATATATATAACAATAATTATATATATATTTAATCAGTATCAGTGTATGTGTAATTTGATATTAATATATATATATATAATTATATATATATTAATAGTAAAATACACCTAGACGGTGTACATGTGTGTATGTATATGTGTATATATATACTTTGATCATATATATATATAATATATATATGATCTAAGTATATATTATTTATTTTTTTACACTATTTATTTATTTCATTTTTATTTTCAGCCAGCAGGGGGACCACCTGTCATTACAGGCAGCCCCCTGCTGGCAATACAGAAGCCAGCTATCCCCGGCCATGTGATTGTGGGGTCCTCGCTAGGACCCCACTCTCACACGGCCGGGGGGCTTCCTGGAGGACGGTCGTGCCGCGGGGGGCTCCCTGGGAGTCCCCCCCACCGCGATCGCCGGCGTGGGACCGCCGGCGACCGGGTAAGTACAGAAAGACCGGAGGGCGTACTATTACGCCCGGCGGCGTTTAGAGCCGCCTATTAGAGGACGTAATAGTACGCCCTCCGGTCTTAAGGGGTTAAATATTTTTTCTTTACTAATTCATTTGTGTCGGTTTTCAGGTAATTAATGCTAGTTAATATGATGTTAGTTAACCAAGGTCAATATTTGTTTGGTACTTAATGATAATGCCCCTAGACTCCCCTTTTATTACATTATTATAAAACCTTTGTTCTGTTCAATAAACAGCATAGACCTTTTTTTCTGAATTGACTCTTTTGTATGGTCTTTTAAGAGTGTCACCAAGTACTTGGGGGATGGTACAGTCATGCTAGAACCTTACTATAATAATTCCATGGCAGAGGTCTAGTATGTTACAACACACATGTTTCCTGCTTCCAATATATGAAATTCAAGAACTGACTGTTCACGTGCTGCCTAATATATTCTACTCCTTGATGGTTGCCATTATAACAATGTAATCAATGTTATTCACTTAACCTTCAGTGGTTTTAATGTTGTGGTCAGTGTCTATCTATCTGTCTCTCTGTCTCTTTGTCTCTCTGTCTCTCTGTCTCTCTGTCTGTCTGTCTGTCTATCTTGTTTAATTTCTTAAGCATTGCTTTTATTTAACTAAAGAATTTTAGCATTACTAGGTTTTTCCAATTTATTTTAATTATTTTTTATTTATTTTGACTTACTGTCACTGATGTTTGATCATTTGTCAAAAAACAGTTTTTCTTGGTATCATTTAAGACAGCAAGCAGCCCTAGGCATGGTCATATGTTTGTGTCCTGCCTTTTTTTTGTTTTTTATTCCATATGGTTAAAAAGCTGAGAAGAAGCACATAAGTCAAATAGCATATGTTCATAAAGCTCTGATTATTATTTTTTTTAAGTTTGCAGACAAAATTTCATGTATTTTTACACAGTACAAACATTCAAAGCGAGGGAGCAATGAAGAGGCAAAAAGAATGATTTATATGCAGAATTTATTTGGTAGATTAATTACATACACAGTAAAGTAAAAATTACAAGAAATGCAAATTAAACTTTGTTTGCCACATGCCTTATTCCAGGGATATATGTACTGAGAGACACAAACTAGGTGCTGTGATTGGGTACCTAAACCAGAAACATTTGCACAGAATATGGGCTGGACCTGCCTAAGTCCAGATAGAAGATACCACAAAGGATAGTTGAGAATGACTGGGCAAAGATCCATTATGGGATTTCCAAACCCATAAAGACAAGCAAGTACTGACTAACACCACATTATTGGGTAGACAAGGAACGGAAGAGTGGCTTCAGCAGTTTCCACAGCTCCAGAACAGGGCAGTTCTAGGAATACTAGAATACTGCGCAGAACACGAAATAGCAGTCAAATGAGGTGGGAGTGAAGCAGAGCTGGAGGAGAAAGTAGAGTCCTGCCCTTTAGGAGAGAACAAGAGACAGGTATGTGAGGTAGAGGTTAGTCTGGATAATAAGAGGCCGTAGGCTTTCCTAAAGAAATGGGTTTTAAGGCACTTTTTAAACGACTGAAGACTAGGGGAGAGTCTGATGGCAGTAGGCAGGCTATTCCATAGGAAGGGAGTCACCCGTGAGAAGTCCTGCAAGTGTGAGTTGGCATACAGGTGCGAGCAGCAGACAGAAGAAGGTCATTGGCAGAGCCAAGAGACCAAGAAGGGGCATACCTAAGGATCTGTGTGGAGATATAAGAGGGGCTAAGATTATTCAGTGCTTTATAGGTATGGGTTAGCATTTTCAATTGACTCCTATAGTATACAGGAAGCCAATGTAAGGACTGACAGAGGGGTGAGGTGTGAGAGGACCGACTAGAGAAGAAAAGCAGTCTAGCGGCAGCATTCATTACAGACTGTAGTGTGGCAATACGGCTATTGGGAAGACCAACTAGGAGAGAGTTACAATAGTCCATGCAAGAGATTACTAGAACATGGACAAACCCTTTAGTAGCATCTTGTGTAAGAAAGGGGCGGATGCGGGCAATGGTTTTAAGGTGGAATTGGCATGATTTGACAACAGACCGGATGTGAGGCTCAAAGGTGAGGCCAGAATCAAAGGTAACACCAAGACAACGTGCTTGTAAGGATGGGCTGATATGGGTACCACAAATCTGAAGGGAGAGCGAGAGAGGAGGATTAATATTAGGAGAAGGAAAGACAAGAAGTTCTGTTTTGGAAGGATTTAGTTTCAGAAAGCGGGAGGACATCCAATCAGAGATAGAAGAAAGGCAAGAGGTGACATGTTGCAGGACATCAGGGGAGAGGTCCGGGGAGGAGAGATACATCTGGGTGTCATCATCATACAGGTAGTATTGGAATCCAAATGAGGTAATAGGTTTGCCAAGAGAGGCAGTGTAAAGAGAAAATAGAAGGGGACCAAGGACAGAGCCTTGGGGGACCCCAACTGAGACAGGATGAATGGTGGAGGTATCATTAGGAAAGGAGACACTGAATGAGCTTTGGGAGAGATAAGAGGAAAACCACGATGGGACAGAGTCACAGAGACCGAGTGATTGAAGAGTTTGGAGAAGGAGAACATGATCAAAGTGTCAAAAGCAACAGAGAGGTCAAGAACAATTTGGAGTAGAGACCTTTGGATTTAGCTGTGATAATGTCATTAGTGACTTTGATAAGGGCAGTCTTAGTAGAGTGAAGGGGGTGGAAGCTGGACTGAAAAGGGTCACGGAGAGAGTTGAAGTTGATGAAGCAGGCCAGACGCATAAAGACTAGTCTTTCAAGAAGCATTGAGGAAAAAGGGAGCAGGGATATAGGAGGATAGTTAGAGGGGTAGTACGGGTCAAGAGATGTTTTTTCAGGATAGGTACTATAGTGGCATGTTTAAGGCCAGAAGGGACAGTGCCAGAAGAAAGAGAGCAGTTGGAGATGTATGTTAAGGAGGGCACAAGACATGAGGAGAGAGATCTGATAAGGTGAGACGGGACAGGATCAAGCGGGCAA